GGTGCTGCTAGCTGCTGTCTCACCTTCTGTTATTTTTTGTGCTGCTGGCGAATTCCAGCTTCCTTTCCCCAAAGTTCTCAAATCTATTGCATTATTCTTGCACTAGGGAAATACATAGGCCATAGGAGACATGGGAGAGTAGGATAAGGAGTCAGGTGCTTCTCGACCCTGGCAGGGTTTGTGCATGACCTCAGAAGCCCTGGGCTACACACAAGCCCTCATGTATGGCCCCTCTCAAACACCCTGCCCTGCTCAATCTGGCATTTGGGCACCCCAGAGGGGCTCAGTGACTGTGGCTCTGCCCTTGGTGGCTGCACATGAGTGGGTAACAAATCTGCTTTCCCTGGATTTGCTCTGGGCACTCGGTTTGGACTGTAGGTACTGGAGTAACTGTGGCTCCTGATCACACCAGGTTTCTCCCTGTGGTCCTGGAATCTCTGCAATTTCCCTCTTAAATTATGACTTGTATGAAGAAGGCAATGGGCTGGCACAGCTGCCTGTAACATCTAAGTGTCCACCTTTCCTGTCCTGAGCAGCAGGGACTTGGCAGGACAAGGTGTTATGCTGGTGTTGTCCTTTCTGATGCCCCACCTCAGGCCATTCACTCTTCTGTCAGCATATGCTGCTATTGCTGCCATGCCTATTCCCCTCTTTCTCACTGCAGCTGGATTGAAATGATTTCTTTTTGAAGGGCTGTTTTTAGTGATGACACCATGGTTAAGTCAATCAGGGCAGGCAGTGGTGACTCTCCCCTGGCTGAAATGGGCTCAGCTGTGCCAGTGCTTCCCACAGCGCACCAGGCTCTGCTGCCACCTCAGCCTTCAGCTGGGGAGCACAAGGAGGGGAAATGATCTTGGCTTCCATGTGTCTGAGTCCAGCAGAGCCTGAATATTCTGCTCTGGGCATCCTTCTGATGCCTCGTGTGCTGGTCACCCTCCTGAGCTGCTGGCTTCAGTCCTCCAGCCAAAAGTGCCTGTGGAGCAGCCCTGAGCTGCTCTGCAGAGATGGCACAGCAGGGACTTAGTGCTGAACTCCTCTGTGGGGTCTGACAATGGAGTTTCCTGCAGACTGATTTATCCTCTTCAGCCATTGCCTGCAATTCCTCTGCAACTTGTGCTGTTGTTGCTCTCCAAACAGAGTTTTTATAGCTCCCTCCTAACAGAACCTTTTTTTAAAATCTTTATTTCTTTCTGATTGTAGGGAGGTTCTTTGCTGTTTTACTAACATCTGAACTTTTATACTGTGAAATTCACTGTGCAATGGCTTCAAACAAAAATTACAGAAAGTACCTAGTTCTCTGTTACATGCATCTTTTTCCTTTATCTCTCATCCCAGCTGAGCTGGGTGTGCAGAAGAAAAGATGCTTTCTGTGCAGAAGTGTCTATAAACTGAGATGGACAAAATAAGAGGAAAAAAACTAAAGGAAGGCCTGAATGTGGAGTTGCACCAATGGCAGCTGCTGGCCTTGGGTCTCCAACCAGGAGTTCTGACTCTTGGGAAGGCTTTTTGTCAAACATGAAATAACAAAATGCTGGCATGAGTGAATAAATAAGCTCCAGCTAAGCCACTTTGAGAGGTTATAGCAGAGGTTTTGTTCAACCCACCATCCCTGCAGCCTGCACAACTGGTGACTGAGTTGGTGTGGCTTTTGAAGCAACTGTAGCACAGATGATTTTTGGAGATCCAAGGAAAATGTGTTCTCCAGGTGCTGTTTCACAGTCACTGCTCAAGGCAGCACTTTGCCCTGACCATCTCCTGGCTCTGCTTGCCTGGGGGGAGCATACACAATATCCTGAGCTTTGTCCCAGCCCTACAAAGCTCCCAACACTCTGTGTCTTGGGAAATGTGTTCCTGCTCACTGCAGAGCTGGGGCAGCTCTCAGTACTCCATCAGTGCATGTGCAAACAGGAATTTGAGTGACTTTTCTATAGAAAAGGGCGCAGGCATAAACAGCCTGAGGAGGGTGAGATGCCAAAGGCTGGTGGGGGATGGTCAGTGATGGAGTTGAGGCCCCAGGATGGGTACAAGGGAGCAGTGTCAGGCAGGGGAGGACTCCAGGACACTGATCCTGGGAGCAAGGCCAGCTTGTTGGGGTGAGGCTCCTCTATAAAAGGCTCCAGTGTGCCTGTGGATGAGGTTCCTGAGGTACTGTGGTGCTCCTCTTGCAACAGGGCTGCTGGCAGATGGTGTTAGACCCTGGCAATCCTTGGGCACAGGAATAGTGAACAGGAATAGTCAACATCTGGTTTGCCTTGGACATGGGCTGGGAGAAGGAAGTAAATGGTATTGAAGCAAAGTCCCTTCCTAGGCTTCAGTTTTCAGCAAACTGACTTGGACAAAGGCTGCTGGGAGCTGCTCAGGCTGAACAGGAATCCTGGGCATACAACAAAAGCATAAATATGAGATTTTGCTGCAAACCAGGCCCTGGGAGGAGGTGTCTTGAAATTATCATCTATTTTCACCCTTAAGAGAATGTTTTGACATGCTGTGGAGATGTAGAAACAAGGAGGCTTTTTTGTCTCCAGGAGACCATTGTCTGCAGCAACATGGGAGGTGCTGTGGCAATGTAGTACCAGATTTTACATTTTGAAAAGTCCCTCTAAAAGCTGGCATGATGCCTAAACTAAACTAAACACTTCAGGCATGTATCTTCCTGCTGCAATGTTAGACAGTAATCTGGAACAAAGCTATTGATGTGAAGGACTTTGGAGGAGACAATCCAGGTTTAGAAATCCCAAAAAATTTTTTGTTTGGTTTTGTTTGTTTGTTTGTTTGGGGTTTTTTGTTTGTTTTTGTTGTTGTTTGGGTTTTTTGGTTTTGTTTTTTTGTTGTTGTTAGCAATGTGCTAAATTCCGAACCCAGGCTGCCATTTGAGGAACAGTTTAAAGGACTTAATGGAAAATCCTATCTGTGTCTCAGCATGGAGACTATATAGTATTTATCACTCTGGTACTGATCTTTTGTAGCACAACATGATTGAAATTTAAGGCTGTGAAACCCATTGCCTTCAAATGTGCTGGTGCTTCTGAGAATTTTGGAGAGATTTCCAAAAGAATTTCAGTTTCCCAGTGATCACTGACACCAAATCCCAGCTCCTATCACCATTGCTTTTGGAGAAGAAGGGCATAATTAAGAGCCTGTCTTGAAAAAAATCTCAGCCTCATCTAAACCACATCTTGTCGCAGACATCTTTTATGAAAAATCCTTTCTTTAGGATTTTTCCTCCTGAGAAGCTGAAAAGCATCAGGAACAAAATGTAAACATTGATTATCTGCTGCTGTGGAATGCAACAAGTAGATCTTTGATTGACCCATGTTAGATGTTTCTAATTAATGGCCAATCACAGCCCAGCTGGCTCAGACAGAGAGTCTGAGACAGAGCCTTTGTTATGATTTCTTTCCTATTCTATTCTTAGCTAGCCTTCTGAGGAAATCCTTTCTTCTATTCTTTTAGTACAGTTTTAATGTAATATATATCATAAAATAATAAATCAAGCCTTCTGAAACAGAGTCACATCTTCATCTCTTCCCCCATCCTAAGACCCCTGTGAACACCATCACAACATCTGACAGCCAAATGCTGAGCTTCAGACACAGCATGTGGTGTGTGACAGGCACAGAAGAGCAGGGACACACAAATGTGCATCCCAGGTGCCGTGGGGTTCCCTCCCTCTGCCAAAGGTGCCACTGGCAGTGCCAGCCTTGGCATTACTCTGATACAAACTTCTCCTCAGCTAAAGAGCTGTGAGGGCAGATGGTGGGTGGGGGATGCAGCTCTGTTGACCTTAAGGCGAGTGCCATGTGTGAGGCCCAGGCAGCAGGATGGCCCCATGACATATTTCTTACAGCTTAGACGCGCCAGATCGGATCCTGCTGACACGTAAAGCCCTTTTCCACAGCTCTGGCAGTGCTGAGAGCTGGGACAGCCTAATCTCTTCCTAAAGGCCTCCTGTGCTGTAACCAAAACCTTGGGGTTTTGCACGGAGAGGTGAACGTGCTGATGCAGTCTGTGGTGCTCCTTGGCACCATCCCTTTGTGTCTGCTTCCCTGGTGTCTGGGACATCTCTGGCTTCCAGCAGCCAGGGTGGTCTCTCTCCAAGCACTGTGTGGGTGACAAGTGGCAGCTCTCTATGTCCCTACTCCCTTGTCAGCTTCAGAGACATAAATCTGGAAAGGTGCAAAAGGCACTTGAAGGGTTTGTGGTCAGGAACCTGGTGCTGCTGCCAGGCACTCACAAACTTCACCCTCTTCTCAGCCGAGGATCCACACAGGAAAAAGAAATTGGCAGTCCCCTGGCTGCAGAAATACTGCAGTTTTGTTGTACCTTCTCACATGTGGGAGACTCAAATGAGACAGAGCAACCTGTGGGAAGCAGGATCCTACAGAGGGATTTGTGCAAGGACTGGCTGGGCAGTGTGTGACAGCAGTGTGACGTGTCCTTGTAATACTGACAGTGACCTGGGTAATAAACATCTTTAATTCACTTTAAAACACTGCTGTAGCACAAGCCCAGGGCAGAAAGAATTTAGTCAAAATCAGGATCAGGCGTGTGAGATTTTGAGAAAAGCTACCTTGCAAATAACTTCCTAATTATTTCTGTATTCATTTACTAATTACACAGCTCAGGTTTTTTCAGCCCATGAGTCCAAACCCACCTGAGTAAGGGAGGCTCTGCAAAATGCCCTTAGAGAAAACCCAGTTTGGTACCTGCCCACCAAGGAAAAAGGTGGTCCCTGGGCAAGGGGCATGTTTTCCTATCAATATAGCAATCAAATTTAGCTTCTGCCACTGTAGTCAACGTGGCATTAAAAGAAGGAGCTTAAGTTATTAAACTGAGCTGCTTTAATCGTCCCGTTCGGGGAAATCCATTGCTACAGGAGACCTGAGGATTAGTGTATTTTTACCACAAAGCCAATACATCTATTCTGATCAGTTAGCACTTGCTCATTCGTGCATATGAAACTTCATTCTCCAGGTTTGCCCTCTCTAGTATGGGTCCAAATGGAGTTTTATTTGGAGATTGACCCCGTTACCTTGAATCTCATCATTCTGGTATCTAGCTATGTCATTTTGCTTCTGGTTTTCCTGATCTCCTGCGTGCTCTATGACTGCAGAGGGAAGGATCCCAGCAAGGAATATGCTCCTGAGGTCCCTGCAGACAGCCAGCCCCCGATCCGGCTGGTGGTGATGCAGCAGGGCTCCCCTGGCACTCGCTGGGCAAAGGGGCTCGTCTCTGCCTACGAGAACCCTGCTGATCTGCCTGGGAAAAGGACTACAGTGGTGTGAGGGACCCTGCCTGGAGCTCCAGTCCCTGCCTCTCTGCTATGTTTACTCCCCGTGTGCAGAAGGATCGCGCAATCCCCAGGTACGTTCAGATTTATTTGATGTGGTGCCATTGCTCCGGGGATCATTTGGTGTTGAGCTGTGCTCTGCATCGATATGAGCTCACAGTTCTGCCTGCCAGCCATAAAGAGACTAATTTCCATTTTTGCTGCTGCCTTGCAGCCCACTGGCAGCCAGCAGCAGTGACGCTGTTATCCTCTCAGGCTCTGATGAGGGGCCTTGGTTTAATCTTGAGTTGTGCCCAGTGCAGTTATTTTGGCAGGGACACAGTGTTGTTCAGAGCATCCCACCCCAATGGGCTGAGCTCTGCTGCCCCACAGCCTCGGCACATCTTCCTCAGTCGTGCAAATGACCTTGGAAGGCTGTTCCCACCTCCCCAGGGAGAGCAGAAACACCGAGGATTTTCAAAGGATAGAGATAGTGCCTTTCCTGTGGAAGCCAGCTGCTGCTCCCATCAGAATTCAATACTTTCCATATTGGCTGTGAGCTCTCCTGAGGGCAGTACCGAGCCTGTCTTGGCACTTAGTTTCTGTAGGTAGAACACAAGCTCTGCTCTTAGGGAGCAGAGCACCCCTTGCCCTGCACAGATCCCCTGGCAGGATACAGTGTGCTTCCTGGAAAAGCTGGGTACAATGCCTCCTGCCCAAGGGGAAGTGGGAACTGAGGTGAATTCACCAGTAATGTGAAACGTGTGTCACCACTGTCCACTGGAACAGGAATTTCTGACCCCACATTTCTGATTTTTGTGTCCATCTCCACGTGTCTGACCCTGCCTCCTGCCCTGAGCCTTCCTTCAGCTGTATCAGATTCCTGCTGGGCCACATCAAGGCTGTTATTGTATCTCCAGCAAATTTAATGCTATCTGCATCAGGTCCTGCTATTCCCATAATTTCAGAGCTATAAGCTAAAGGCCCTTTTGGTTAACAAATTTCTTCTGCATCTTGCTGGTTTTCTCCCTCTCAGTGCTCTATGGGATGTTTAACACAAGGTTATTGTGTCCCTTTAAATAGTGCTCAAGTTCCTATATGTGATATTATTTAAGTGGTGGATTTTAGTTGGGTATTAAGGGAAAATTAGCACTGGACTCAGACTGTTGCAGGTGCCTGTCCCAGAGGCTATTTTACATCATGTTAATGTGAAGTTACCACAGAGTCCTACAGAAAGCTTTAGTAAACGTAGTGAGATTTATTACCTGTGTCAGGTGTCATGGATGACTCACTGGATGCAGTGGTCCCAATGTCTTCAGGACAGGCATTTTAAATACTTCCAGAAATAAACTGTAGTGAATTTGAACCACAATTGAACAAAGTTGTTGGCTGGATTGCATGGTTTGTACTCCAGCTGGGTAGGAACAGTCTGCCTGTGCTACATCCCCAGACATGCTGGTTTCTGAATCAGCCACAGAGCATCCTGGCTCTGGCAAGGAAATCTCAAGAGTACCTTTTATTTAACTGGATTTTTAGAAAAGGAGCCAGAATGGTTAGTGGTTTTTCTTTTGGTTTCTATATTCTTGTGTGTGAACCCAGGCTTTGTTTTCAAGCTGTCCTTTGCACCCTGGGAGTCATGGATATGCCTGGTTTGGGAAGGAAGCCTGAATGGGAAGGAAGGTTTCTGATGGGTGGGTTTAAACTGGAGTAAAACCCTTGATGATGAAACTGCTAAATCAGTTCTTCCATGTATCATGCTGAAATAACTATGTTGAATGTCTTCTTTTGGTTATTTAGCACTGAAAAGGTGCAATTTGTTGCAGCTGCTTTGGCAAAATGTGGCAGTGACTGAGCTGCTCATATGCCATGGCTGCTGTCACCCATGCAGGGTGGGTTATCTCTCCCTGGGCTCTCCCATCTGCCTTCCCTTCAGCCTGTAAGTTCTTTAAAGCTTTTTGTGTGTCCATGTATCATTTAACATTCTAGGAGCCTTCTTGGTGATAAGGGATCCCTGGCATTCGAGAACAATTATTTGTTAATAAGACCTTGGGGGATGGACTAAAAAGAGCTCAAAAATATCACAAAGAACACGGCACAGCTCGTGTGACACCAAATACCACAGTGCCACCAAAGAAGCTGTGGTTCTTTGCTGCAGGTCATGCAAATAATGTAATGACACCATGTCACCATTTCACTGCCACTGTGTTTGTTTCTGTAGGTAAAACAGACTTGCAAGGCTGTGTTAATAAATACTTTCAGATAGCTGAAATTCTCTAGATACGGAGTTTTCTGTGCTTTAACCACAGATCCCTGGCTCCTTGAAGCTTGATGGCAAAGCTGCTGATTTTGGCAGGGTAATTTTTCTGGCTTAAGCTTTAGGAAGTTGTGCCTGGGGAGGCTGCAGGCACAGGAGCAGTTTCCATTGTTCTCTCATGAGGACATTTGTCAGTTGTGATAGCTGGTGGACTCTGATCCAAAACGTGGAGGTAAAAGCAGCAAATGATACTTTCCTTCTGATAACAGAAAGGTAAACATAGGGCAAATCCCTTTCTGGAAAATGAAAAACTAAAGTGCATCAGGACTTTGTCTTCCCAACAGGAATAAAATGGCTTTCTTATATACTAAACGAATATAGGAGTAATTTGTCTTACTAGGGCAATATTGGAATATTGTTTTTTACTAGACCAGGATTACAGTATTATTAGTAGGAGAGAGTCCTTGAGTATGTAATGAGAATTCCGAGTAATCAAGTCCCTGTGAGGGAAATTACTGCTTTGGGGAGGTCTCTGCTATCATGCTTTACTTAATGACTGTGTCAAGATTGCATGCAAATGGGCTTTTATGAGGCCAAGCTTGTCAGAAATCAGCCTTGAAGCTGTGTTCCTTGGAGTGCTTGCAGTCCTCTGCCATGCCATTGGCATCATTGTGAGAAAACAGGGATGAGTACTCCCACAGCAGGGCTGCTGTTTGCATCAGTTGTGTGTAAAATGTGAATCCCTTGCTGGAATTCACACAGTACAAAACATCCTAAACCAGGCTTTGTTGCTTTCTATCCCAAACTGAGCCTTGCAGCGGAGCTCTGCAGAGACTGAGCTATCCCTTTGGGATACCTGCAGCATCTTCCCAGCCCTGTCCCATATGGGGAAGCACCAGGATGTGGCTGTGAGGATCCATAGAATCAGGGAAAGAGCCCCTGAATCTGCCTCTTCCATCCCTGCTCAGTTGAGGATGGGTTTGTGCCTTGCTTAATCCTGCCCGTGCCTATGGAGACGTGCTTTGCCCAGAGGATTAGACAGGATTTTAAGGCCAGGATATCCAGCACAGAAATCCTGTCCTGCAGCAGGTGCCCTTTGTAAATGAGTGAGATGTGGGTAAAATTGTATTAACATTTATTCATCAGCAATATGAGTGACAAGGATTTAGGAAATGTGCTCTATTCCCAGTTCTGCCCTTGAATTATGGGGCATCCCTGGGGCATCCCTGGGCAGCTCTTGTCCCCTCTGTGCTTTGCTCCATGTGTCTCTGGTTAGTTTTCTCTGCTCTTCTGCCCTCTGCACTGAGATTTCTTTCTTCTTAGTCATTTATGCTGTTCGTATCACTACAAAACTGGCACACAGGGGCTGCGCTTGAATTTCAGCCCACGGACCAGGAGAACAAAATAAAACATTCTCCCACAACAATGCAGGTGGATCAGAGAAGTTGCTGAACAAGCCACATGAAATCTGGGCAAACCCTGGGCACAGCCTTACAACACCTGCTTTGGGTGAGCTGTGGTCACCTTGGCACTCTGATTTCTGTAGCTCTGTGATTCGAAGTGAACTCAGGGGTGCTGGGAGGATTTATTGCTGTTCTGCAGGAAGCAGGAATTCAGTCTGCACTGGCTCGCTTACAGTTGGCTTAGTGTGCTTTTAGAGTCACAAATTACTGCTTCTGTAAAGCCTTTATTAAAGGGTTTTACAGAAACAACAGGGAAAAAAGATTTCCAGAGTTCTCCAATATTAATTCAAGTCAAACATGTCATTAAATTCACTGAAAATTCATCTTTCATGTGAGGCTGTTCCACTGTAAACATACTGTCTAAGCCTTTAGATTTCTTTTTAAAATCCCTAATAAGCCACTACATATGAGTAGAGGATTAGTGCAGACAGACTAACCCATATTTGCCAGGGAGAATTCCTTCCCATGCAGTGATTGTTTTGAATTTGAAAATGGGGTTAATCTTGTCTCATTTTTTTTTAATCAGCACATTTTTTTCATCCTCTGATAGTGCTGAGTGTAGAAGCACAGTGACATGTCCAAGTCAAACCCCTTGGCTGTAAGAACTCAAGAATAATTTTTACTGCCTAGAACTGCATCACCTTGAGTCATCACTCATTCAGTTGTGTGATGTTGGTGCTTTGGTGGGAATGCCAGGAGATAAGAATTGGTATGGGGAGTTTAATTGGAAATACTGTTCTTCCAACCATGAGCCAGTGCTGCTTTGGGGAGCCCATTTGTCATCTTTTAGAGGTTTCAAACCCCACAGCCCCAAGTCTCTTGAGCTCCCTGTGTACCTTTGCTATGGCAAAGCACTGCCCTGGTGTCCTGGCCCTGCCCCAGCCCAAATGACTTTGTGGCTCTCTCAAGTGCTTGACTCCCTGTGCAGGATCTGTTCTGCCAGGTGGGCTCTGGGGGTTGAACTGAATCCACATGTCCTGCTGGGGTCCCTGAGGGGCTCCTGCATGAAATGACAGCTGGAGCCTCAGCAAGGATGGGCACGTGAGCTGCATGGGAGGCATGTACATGTGCTGGAGTCTGCTGGTGGCTGCTGCCCCCAAGGAAAGCAGGTGGATTCCTGGGGCAGCTCTCAGGGCTCTGAGGTGAAGGTCTGGCTCTTCATGCTAGAGCTAAATTAACTGTTTATAAATAAATTGCTCTGACATCCACAGCAAAAAGTTATCTGAATTAACTAGAGAAAATCATAGCAGAATGATAAAAACCAGAAAAATCTGAACAGATGCCTCCTCAAGCTTCTGT